ACTGACATCCGTGGTTGTCCTGCTATTTAGTCCCTAGCTAGTGAAGACAAAAAGGGATTCATATATTTTCCACGGACATTTGTTTGAAAGTGAACTCAACAAGAGACCGGGATAAGAACGCGACTCGACAAGACACATTTCCGTCCTGGGTAAGACGATAAACTACATATGACAGCAAGGCCTCCGATCAGGAGTTTTGAGGAGGGTAGAAGCACCTCTTAATTGCTGATGTTCCCATGTTCACCCTGGCCCTGGGATCATATTTATCTTAACAATTTATTCATTTAACGAGTTTTGCTTATTACAATTTTTAAGTAATAATTCTATACTTTTTTTTTTTAATAACAGACATCTGATCTCTTCATTTTTTTCACTTGCTCTATGCTATTAGTTCTGGTGATTCATTTTATTTTTAACAAGTTCAATGCTATTCGGTGCAGAATACTAAAATGCCCTTGGATTGTCTTTCGTGATTCGTCACTGTGGTATTGGCTATAACAAGCGAAAGGAGAAATGCGATGCCGTGTGAAAAAGGATAAACTTAGGAGGAAAATAGACACATAACTGACAATAACAGTACAAGAAAGGATGGATTAAAGAAAGAAAAAAAGACAAGAAATGAAATAAAGAAATAAAGAAAAACGAAGAAGGAAAAGAAAGAAATGGAAAAAGAAAACGAAGATAGAAAGACAGATAAATAAAAAAAAAAGAAATGGAAGAAACAAGGAAAGAAAGAAAGAAGGAAAGATAAAGAACAAAAGAAGACGCAAGGAAAAGAAAGAAAAAATGATTTTAGAGAGAGAAAAGGAAGAAAAACGAAAGAAAGGAAGATATGACAAAAGAAAGAAAAAAGAAAGAAAAAAAAGAAAAAGAAAGAATTATAGGGAAAGTAAAATAAACATACAAAGAAAGAAAAAGGTTACTAAATCAGTGAAATCAATTAGCTATTTTTGACGTCATTGTCATAAAGTTTACTTAAATAATATTTGAATATAAATAAAAAAAATAAAAAAAATTATTACCTAATAATATACATACTTATAGTTGATAATAAATAATTCTACATACTGTAAGGGATTCTAATACATTTACTTGCTCTTAAAAGAAATATAGTATATTAAAAATTAAAAATTAAAATATTTATCAAATTGTATTTAAATAAAACGTACTCTAACCTAAACACCCCACCAAAAAAAAATCTTTAAATATACAAATAGAAAAAATGCCGTAAGAATTTTTGCCGTTAACAATAAAATTTTTAAAAAATCCAGACGACATGCATTTAACAGATGTCAGATTTCATTGAAAAATACATCCCTACCCCTACCAAAACGTAACTAATAACTGATGCATCAAAATAAAGCCATAATGAACACCCAGACACCCCTTGTCTGGTTGAGTTGAATTTCTCTGTATCCTTGGAAACGTGAATTATGTTTTTTGCTGTCTTTAAAACCCAGTAATTCTAAAAGTTATTCCAAAATTCGCTTGAGGATGAAATGGAACTAATGTCTTTAATTTAATTACAAAATTAAATTCGGACCTTCCATTTTTGAAACATGGTTAGAACTGTGTAGCGGAAAAAACATTTTAAATCAATTTATTTATAATATTAATGCTCTGTAAATTTACATTGAGCAATATTTTGTAAAAATAAAAATATCTATAAGAACACCGGATTATATATCTTACTGTTCTTTCTTTATATATATATATATATATATATATATATATATATATATATAAGAAGAGACAAAAGCAAAGGAATAAACTAAGAGAAATAATGGGAAAAATACAAGAACATCAATTTCCTGTCTCGTTGATAAAGGGCACAGGCAGGTCGAATTTACTGCTTATAAACTTATAAACTAAATTGTCGGACTTTGTCCAATTCTTAATGCATGACGTCATTTGTTTACATTTGATACGCCATAAGCAGTTATGAATGTACGAGATTCATGGAAGATTGAAGTTTATAAGCATTTATTTAATACTGTTTATCATAAACAGAGCATTTACTGAAATACTTGTATCTATAAAAAGAATGTTAAACATAAAAATGTCTTTTAATAAATTGTCGGACTTTGTCCAATTCTTAATGTATATATATATATATATATATATATATATATATATATATATATATATATATATTTTCATCAACAGACTGTTTCGCTGTATCACAGCTTTTCAGTGTGGCTAGACGTCCGATAGATGTGAGATTATTGTATATAAATGTCTTCTATCAGAAAAATGATATGTAAATGAATGATTAAAGTAATGTCCTTATTCATTGAGTTCGAGCCGAGTGGGAGATATAAACTTTTGTTTTACAGTAAGGTTCGCCTTTTACAAGGTGAACAGACCTCTCATCGCATTCTATTCGATTTTCCCGACGTTTTCAAATCTTGTTCCATTCAATTGTGATCAAATTTTTTAAAGAAGAAATGCCGAAAGGGGCAAGAACTGGGCAATATGGTGCATGCCCAGGCCTCGATAATGTTGATCTTCGCCACCAAAGACTGCTGCACAAGCCAGGTGCATTGATCGAACTTCTGCGGTGCAGTGAGACAGCCACACTCTACACACTTTGCCTCCAATCAATGCTTTCAATAAAGGAAGCGAGCGGGAACGTTATAACTTTGTGTTTATGCACGACAGAGTCAAAGTGCGATCTGTATCAGACAGCTTCACTCTACGTACTGCAGCTCTGCAACTGTCCTGATACTTTTGATCACACTGCTCTCTCTTTTACATACACACACACATATATATATATATATATATATATATATATATATATATATATATATATATATATATATATATACCCAAGTATATGATTGGTGTATACGGAATAAATTGCAATAACCAACAGTTACAGAGTAGAGCAGATAAAATTATTTATTTAAAAATTAGAACATAAATATGCTATAAAATCAATACAAAAATAACCATTTTAAACATGAGAGTGTGTTATACATGACTGCGTATTATACACGATTAATTTAATAATAATTTAAATGCTAACGACGAAGACTATTGTGAGGAAATTAAATGAATTTTATAACAGTTAGAATAAATAGCTTTGCTTAAAACTCGTAAAGCTCTCTTTAAAAAGGCATATTTCAACATATGGCTGACTTAATGTTATTCTTTTACTGTGAAAGGGTTGTGAATCAATATAAAGTGAGGATATTGCCCACCTTTCATCGGAACTGATTGTTGTTGGTAACCAGTAATCACCTCAGAATTTTGTGACTAGATTGACCGGAGTCAAGAGAGTAGTAGCCAAGACGTGTACTGATTGATAAGATCGAAAAAGAATCCAATTCATTAATAATAAAAAAGAGCATAAGACTCGGCTGCACTAATCAGAAACAAAAATATGCAGGAGAAAGATTTTAGCAATGAAATAAGAAGATTAGTGAAGGAGCAAAGCAAATGCAATAGTATAAGGCAGCGAGAAGAAATTACAGTGTGTGCAGCTGAAAGGACGATATATATATATATATATATATATATATATATATATATATATATATATATATATATATATATATTGTGTGTATTTAGGCAGCATATTTTTTATTTATACACGTTTCATTAAATAATTAGACATATTTATCCATTAGATTAGATTTTATTAAAAATAATGGATAAATATTGTGAATTTTTTTTTCGGTTAATGATAATTTACCAAACTTATCAGAAGATATGAAAATTTTACAAAAAATAAATAGATAACATTTGTCTATATTATTTAATATATATATATATATATATATATATATATATATATAATTCTGAGGTGAATACTGGTCACCAATAACAACAATCAGTTCCGATGTAAGGTGGGCAATATCTTCACTTTATATTGATTCACAGCCCTTTCACAGTAAAAGAATAACATTAAGTCAGCAATATCTTGAAATAGCAGTTTTTAAAGAGAGACTTTCAAAGCTGTGTCATGAGTCTTACCGAAGATGTTGATATGTCTATCTTTGAGCTATTCTTTAGAAATTCCAAATTATTGCGGAATTCCCTTTCTTTTAACATTGCATTGAATATTCCACTAACAATATTCATTGCCTGGTAAATAGTAAATTGTATTTCTCCATCTTCTGATTTCCAATGTTCCTCTTGCCTTCAATATGTCCTTACGAGTTTCGACTCTGTTTTTTTATTACGTGTCTTAAAAAGTTCAACTATCTTTTACTGAATGTACGTATTAGTGTGCCTTTTGTTTCCATTTTCCTTAAAGGTTTGTCGTTGCTTACCTGGTCAATATCAGGTGAGAGAGAGAGAGAGATAAATAGAGAGAGAGTGAGAGAGAATCCAATGATATTTCTCTACTTTTGTATTTTGTGTTCAGTCCTCTTTTAAATTGAATTTTACGAACGTCGGAATGGGATTCTATTCGATCTCATTTCACACATACACACACACACACACACACACACACACACACACACACACACACACATATATATATATATATATATATATATATATATATATATATATATATATATATATTTTATTGAGTTTTATTAGATTAGTTTAAAAGTTCCCGTTTTTGGGTCACCCAGTATATATATATATATATATATATATATATATATATATATATATATATACTGGGTGACCAAAAAAACGGAACTTTTTAACAATCCAATAAAACCAAGAGTGATCGAACAAAAATATTTTATTCATAATAATTGAAACCTTAAAACATGCCATTTAAGAAACAATGATGGAATTTTCATTCTTTCAAAATTACGTCCAGGGATACTGTGAATTTCATCTTGAATTCTAAATGGCGAAATGTTTACTTGCTCAAGGTCACTGTCTCGCAGTGTTACCACTTGCTCATGTCTGGCAATACGTACTTCAAAATTTCCCGTTTTTGGGGGTCACCCTATACATATAAGTGTAAAAGAGAGAGACCAAAAGATAGAGAGAGGAAAGCTTAGAAGGACGGAAATAATGAAGTTAGTTTAGCGCAAAGAAAGAAAGAAAGAAAGAAAGAAAGAAAGAAAGAAAGAAAGAAAGAAAGAAAGAAAGAAAAAGAAATTAAAAAAATAAAGATCAGGTACGAAAGAAGAATCGACTGCCAAAGAGTGGAAGAAAGAAAGAAACAAAGAAATACAGAAATAGAAAAAAAAGACAGCAAAAGAAAGTAAAATCTATGAGGAAAGAAATAGAAAAATAAAGATGATACAAAGCTGTAAGCAACAAATTCATAAGCAGTTGAAAATTAGGAGAAAGAAAGAAATGTAAATAAAATACCTTAAAAGACGATAGAGTAAAGGAAATGTATTAAAAAAGGAAGAAAAAGAAGAAGAAATATAATAAAGCTGAATGAAAAAGAGAGTGAGATGAGAAACAGATGGAAGAGAAAATAGCAAAAGAAAGAAAGGAAAAAAACTAAAATATTAAGAGAAACAATAAATAGATAGAAACGAACAGGAAATGCATAAGATAGAAAAGAAGAAGAAGAAGAAGAAGAAGAAGAAGAAGAAGAAGAAGAAAGGAGCGGGAATTCTCGTGCAGTTTTCTTTAACGTCGATGACAATGAAGAATAAAAATAAAGACGGAAAGAATAAAGAGAGGAAAAAGAAGAAAAAATTAAATATAAAAAAGAAGTAAAAACGTAAGAAATCCAGGAAAATGGATGAAAAAAAAAAAATGAAAGGAAGGAAGAAAGAAAAAAAGAAATTATAAACAATAATAAAAGGAGCAAAAAACAAAACAAACAAAAAAAATTAAGAACGGAGAAAAACAAAGGCTATTTTTTATTTGAACATTAGAAAAAAGGTTTATTCATCGAAGTGAAATCAATATTTCTTATGAACAGAATAAGGTAGAAAAAGAATAAATCCTGTAAATATTTTCAGTTAAAAACTTTATATATGTATATATATTTTATTTTTTATTTTTATAACTCTACTATAACTCTAGCGGTGTAAAAAATCCAGATGATACAATTGGTAAATAAAAACTATTACAAAACTCATATCTGGGAAAAAAATTCAATAAAAAAAGAAAAGACTAAAAACATCCGTATTGCTTGAAAATAATCAACCCTCGCTGCAATGTCTAGCCAAAAGAAAAAATACACCGACAGAGTAACCTAAGTTAATACGTAAAAGTGCTCAAAAGAGCAAAATTAGAATACGTAAAGAGCCAAAACCTATCTTCTTAGGTTTCACCTAACCGAGGATCATCAGGATAATTCTTACTAAAGAGGATTGGTCCAAACGACATTTTATTGACAAAGCGGCCACCAGAAAAAATTATAAAAACAACTCACATTCTATTTGTCAAGTAACCAGACTTTTTTTCTGCCTACAACTATTAAGTATTTCAGACCTCTGGTTGAGTAATTCATTAAGGTTATTGTAAGAAGCTATAGCTAATTTTTCATCCATACATAGGTGGTAAATATCTATCACCAACTTTCCATTTTAATATAGGATCAATATCTTACTTCTTTTTAATTTCTCACACATGGTTCAATAAACTAGTTATGTGCCTGTATATTTCGTGTGCGAAACTACTTCTATAGTTGTAATATCTTTTTTAAAAGCTCCATAGGTAGAACCCACGTATATTTTTTTTACCATTACTAATAGTATTATTACTACTATTATTGTGTCTGCTGCTATACACCTTCACTTTATACATTATGCATTCATATTGGCATTTGACCTTAAGGGGCCTTATTAATGAAGTTGCATTTGGAGAATTCTGTATGTTGTTTATTTTTAAGCTTTTTAGTATTGCTTTTATTAATCAAATTTGGGCATTCAGCTATAGCTTACTTTAACGGAATTTTTGTTAAATATTTTCTATAGGTTGTTCGACAGGGGAAAAGTCTTTAATAATCTAAATTAAGCTTGGAAATTTGATTAATAAAAGCAATGTAATAGCATTTTGGAGATTTAGGCAAATAATTATATATTAATCCATCAAGGCTAGAAGAATCCTCAACAGAATGCAGAAAGCACTGGGTATGCTGGATCTGCGTTGTATCGAAACAGTCCGGGTTCGAATCCCAGTAGTGGATGCGTACTGCTGATGAGGCCCCAAAATAGGACGAAACGGCTTTCCAGTGCTTTCAGCATTCTGTTGAGGATTCTTCTAAATTCGATGAATTACTATATATATATATATATATATATATATGACCAAAGGGCTCAGAATCGAGAACAATAAAAATATACAAACAATAAAAGCATTTTATGGAAATATGCATAAAAAATCGAGAAATCAACCATGAAGCAACCAATCTATAAAGTGTTTATTGAGCAAAAAAGAAAATGTCGGAAAAATGGATGGATATTAGGAACCAAAATACCAAGAAGAAATAATCAATAATTCCTAGGAAAGTCAGACAATTTGCAAAAGAAAGAACCCAAGAAAAATACGTTCTTTTTGGTTTTTTATTACAATAGGTTTCCCCCTCTACTAGGCCTGGGGTCACTAGAGGTAGAGGGTTATGTTAAGGGGTAGTTCATATGGATAGGAGGGGAAGATAACGGTTAACTGTAGACTTGAACAAATTAAGATTGTAGTGATCGGGAAAATATCCTTTTGGAAGTCGTTTTCACAGGCTAATGTTTCACAGCAAGAAGCTGTTTGAGTGGAACTTACTTATGGCTGATGTAATACGCAGGGAATATGGCTGGTTTGCTACAATGTAAGTAGCATGGCGGGTCGTAGCCATGAAGATTAGACATGGCGGAACCAAGGAAGGTAGTTGTCCGAACACTTTCCATGGAAGTAGCCCTAGCGCAATGCAAAAAGAAGACCTGATTCTCTGTCTGTCACATACTGCCCGCGTGTGACTTGATATGGGTATATATAATAATATCTACGTGAGGGGTTTCTTACGTGAATGCCATTTAATGTATCATCTGAGAGACTCCTTTCTGCCTTCTACCGACATATCTGGTGCTAATCACCGGCAGAGTGACATTTAGCGCCTTCTTGGGCTAACATATTCTTCAAGTTGAAAGGTTATGTTGAATCAATTGCTAAGTCTACTGCAAAGAAAATTGGTTCACTATTGTTATGGTCCGGATCCTTGTACCACGGTGATAGTATATTTAGCCACCCACCCACGAGGGTTGCATGTGGCACAAGGCCGGGTTTAATATGGATTCTCTGAGCCCGTAGGCTCGGCCAAAAATATTCCCTTTTGAACCTGTATAAATGGGTTCAGCATCAGTCAACCTCCCCGAACAAGACTCCACCCTTCTGCGGAGCCTCATCCGGGTTCCTCTCTGCCTTCAGGCAGAGAGTTCAACTGTTTAGTCCAAGGTAGAACCAATAAAGAAGACCTCGAACACATGTATGGGATAACACATATATATTACAAACAGAAATATATTAAGAGAAGTAGACGTGTTAGTATGAACAATCAGGTTTAGTAGAGAGAACAATGTAGTCTCGACCAGTGTCACTATTCCAATGTCTTGTAGTAATTGTCTGAACGCGACTCTGTTTCGGACTGCCTCTGACTCGATTCGACTTGAACTACTGACTCGAGTTGAACTACTCCTGAGGCGCAGTATTTATTATGTATGGAATAGTCCATTATTATTATTATTATGGTTAAGATCCCATAACAACTATATAGAGCTAGTGAATTTTTCTCTCCAGAATCTGTCTTACAAATTTATATGTCCACCTATCGTCCAGGCATTGAATATCGCTAGTAATATATGGCCTGATGCACCTTCTATACATTGAGAGATTCTTGATAAAATCCCCACCAATAAAAAGAATCTGATGTGTTAACGGTAACGTTAATGTATTTGTAGAAAAGGCACAGGGAAGCTACATTAAGACAGTGTGAAAATGAATGAATGCGTGATACCAGGTCAGACTCAATAACACAGTGGATTCTTTTTGGGGGTTTTATCAAGAATGTTCTGAAGAGCTTTCTTTTATGGGACCAAGATTTTATGAATTTCAGCGCAGTACTAAAGTTGTGGCAAGGTCTCATCAATTTAAAATTGAAATAGCTAGATGTAAGTTCTATGCTAACATTTTCTTCCCTCACACTTTACGCTTGTGGAATTCCTTTTCGGTTTCTAGTTTCCCTGTCAATATCAGAACTGCCAAGACTTCACCAGGGAGCTGAAAAGTTCTTTTAAAAATTAAGCTTAGGATTATTTAGATAAAAGTGTATTTAGAAACATTTCACTAAACATTAAGATCAAGATTGCATAGGTTAGAACTACAAATAAAACCGAAGCCGTCCAGTACATGACGTAGTGAAGTCTGTGACGATATTGGGGAAGGTGCTGGAGAACCGAGAAGACGTAGTTACGCAATCTCCAGCAATAACAAACTGTCATTTGAGGTGAGCATAAAATGGCATTAAATATACTGCTACTAATACTACTACTACTATTACTACTCATAATAATGATCTGATGATATACCAGAAAAATGTCTCATGGCTTCTGATCTTAATTGATGGGAATGTTAACATGTACATATTTTGTTATTGAATAAGTTGCGCTACAGTAAATATCTCGTTCAGCACCGCCGGTTTCCATGTTAGTTGCGTGATCATAACCAGCTGGGCATGTCCATTTAATGTTGGCGCCATTTGCTTCTCTGTGCCTAAGCGGGACTAATGAGCAAGCATAATCGAGAATTCTGTTTGAACGATGATGTCAAGGCTTGGGGGTAACATCTAGATGTTTGCAACCATTCACAATCGGAGACCATTTGAGTGGATCAAGTTCTTCGACCTGAAGGTAATTCTAACTGAAACCTTATCTGCAAAGCTATGTGCTTCTTTCATCAAAACCTGCCATCATATTCCACGCATTTGCCTGTGATGCAAGTGCATGGCATACGCTTATCAGACTGGCTGTCATGATAGGGGCATATTGAGCTTCGTATACTTGTACGTCATTTTGATGTTCTCCTCATTCAATCACTGCTACTACTACTACTAATGATGATGATAAAATTCCTTCTCGTAGATATGGTAATGTCATCTGATAAAATATATCAGCTAAAGAATATTACAAAATAAATATAAGAATCTTAAAACTGAAATTGAAAAAAATGGATTATCTTAAAACTACTCTGATGCCGATAATAAGTGGAGCACTGGGTTCAATCAAAACAGGTTCAGATAAGAGCCCTGGCAGCCTCTATTTATAAGATGCACTGTGTTGAACTGTTGAAGGGGAGAAGAGATAGAGAATATAAAGAAAAGATTTCAAAGAGTGAAAAGAGAAATAAAATATAAAAAGGGCAGAGAGAGAAAAGACAAAGAAACAGAAGAAATATATATATAGAGAACTAGCAGCATGGCCCGGCGTTGCCCGTGCTTGATTCAAAAATCGTACGACTCATACAGCAATCGCTATCACTTGACTTAAAATATTTTTGCCCTTCCTTGCCTTTAAAGAACTGCCCTTTGCCGTGCTGATGTTGCTACATGTCTTACTTCTTGCCTATCCCACACTATACTAAACATTAAATCTGTTACGAAAAAAGAACTAAACAAAATGAACACAAAACGATCAGCTTTAAAAAAGGACTCGTAACTGGAAAAACCGAACGAAAAAAGAATTTTAACAACAAATACTTTTTCACACCCAACCCAGTTCTGCGGAATCAGAATCAACGTTGCAAGCGAATGAGCCAATTGAATTAAAGTGCCATGCAGATTAAAATTTTTCCCAATTGTGATGAATGCAGCTATCGATTTTTTTTTTGCATGCTAGCATGCTAGTTAACAATCGTGACAGTCAGCTGTTGGCTCTCACGCTGGCCAATAGAATCTTCCTGCTTATTCGTGGCAGCCAGCTATAGGCTCTCACTCTGGCCAGTAGAAAATGGCCGCAAACTAAATGAAAACTGCCATAGAAGCATGAAAAAATCGATTATTTCGACTATCGATGGGAGTTGGGAAATGCAAAGTCGATCTTGTCCTTCCCACGAACTTGGAGCATGTGCATGTAAATTTTGGTGCAAATCCGTCGAAAATTGCGGCCGTGCATTCGTTATACACACATACACACACACACATCCTACCTTTTATAGATAGATAGTTTGAGTGATTGATTCGTTTTTACGACATCAACCATTTCCTGGTTATTTAAAGCCAGAAAATGTTTTTAAATTGCAAGATTTCGTAGCGGTAATAGTGATTTAGTGATTACTAATAAACCTATAGCTGTGGGAGAAGAGGTGAATTCAAACCCTCCCCGTGGGTATTTGCGTGCAAGTTAATATAAAATAGCCAACAGGAATTGAACTGGCTTTCCGATTAACCATACCGAGCCATTATTCATTATACCACTCGCACATCCATGCTTACAGCACCTGGTATTCTCAAGCTGTCAGTCATCTCCGTAGTGATCACGATCGACGTTGCTTAACTTTGGTGATCATACGGGGACTGTTGTTTCAAGGCGATATGGGCGTAATCCCAGAGAGAGGATAGAGAGAAATGCGATAGAGAGATCAGAGAGAAAAGTAGTAGAGAGAGTGAAAAAAAAAGTAAAAGAGAGAGGGGGAAAAAGAGGAGAGAAAATAAACGAAGAGAGAGGAAGATAAATGATGATGATGATGATGATGATAATGATGATGATTACAAAGAGGGAAGAGAGGAGAGAAAGGAAAAAGAGAGAGATGAGGGAGGGAGTGAGATGAAAGGATCGAGAGAGAATTTCCTCGTTATATCTTCACTCTTTCTCGTTATTTATCTATTAGAGAGAAGAAATAACGAATGAAGAGGGAAAAAAAAGAAGACAGGGAGAGAAAGAGAAATAGAGAGAAAGAGGGATATAGAGAAAGAGAGAGAGAGAGGGGGGAAGAGGAGCTAGATAGACAGAGGGGGAAAAATAAACAGAGAGGTGTGTAGACGGATGGATGTATCCACGAATCCACTGTGCTGCCAGATGGTGTCGAGAATTTTGGAATGAGACCCAAATAATACGACGAACCAAAATCAATTTTTGGCTGATTGAGATTTTCTCTATCGTTCTATTGTTTGCCTTACTGATTTCGCCTTTGGCACGTGTTGTCATGGCGACCGGCTTGTACGCATTATATGTCTTATCAGCAAACTCAGAACAGAAGCAAGAAATTATTTTCCAGGTCTGGCGATAAGGAACAAGAAAATTAAAAATAAAGATATAACTATCCTGGGAAAGACACACCAATAGAGATGCCGACAGCTGTTTAGATTCTATCTTAAATAGGTCTCCACACCACATATATATTAAAAAGAGAATCCCTGTTGTAGACGCCTGCTCAGGTACATTTGTTCAACACCCACAGGGCCAGACTGTGGGGTATAAGATAAGTATGATGATATGACCTTAGTTGTAGTTTTATGGGGAGATCGCATTATTTGGCGTAATCAATAGTCTGAACGCATAAAAGCTCGGTCACGATGACTTGTGATTTCATGCCACCAGAACCAACGACATCTCCCAAAACATCCCGTCTACCCAATTTCACTTAAAAGGATCAACCAAATGTACCGTAAACTGAGTTTGTCTGCCCAGAACAATAACATTGAGAAGCCACCTTTCTTACCGTGGTGAGATTCGAACCTTGATCTCATGGTCGGAAAAGGGAACGTTCTATATATATATATATATATATATATATATATATATATTGATAAAATTAGTGTTAAATATACACATACATATGCGATCATATATCTAAAATATATAAATATATATACATACATACATACACATACGTATATATTTGTATAAAAAATAATTCCAAGAGGATAGAATCCAGGTAGAATTCAATGTCCAGACTCTGGGTTTTATAATAAGTATAAGTCGATATGAGTTGTCCCCTTTCATTATGGCGACAGAATCGTTTTCAAATTGATTTCCCAATTGTGTCTTTCCAATTTTTGGAGCGACAGAACCACCAAATGTAATTTCAGTCCTGTGAAGTTTTGTTGAAATCGGTTGAAAAATGTAGGAAATCTGTCTATATAAACACACACACACACACACAACCTTTTTATAATAAGTATAAGTCGATATGAGTTGTCCCCTTTCATTCTGGCGACAGAATCCAAATTGATTTCGTGCAAAAACAATTGTATCTTTCCAATTTTTGGCGCTGTCAGAACCACCGCAATGTAATTGTACGCAGTCCTGTGAAGTTTTGTTGAAATCGGTTGAAAAATGTAGGAAATCCGATCCAATATATAAACGTACACACACACACACACACATACACACACACAAACAAAGAATCTGCGTCTTATAATAAATAAGATAAAAGGATTGTTGTCCTTATCTTTGTTGTTGTTATCACCGTACAGATTCGATAAATTTTGTTTGAATTTCTCGTATGAGGTGTTTTCATTATTTGCACTATTTTATATTTGGACTATTGTCCTCATCTTTCTTGTTATTATAACATAAAGAGTATAAATAATAATAAGTCGTCATCTAAAAACATCAAATGGAAGAAATTTGCTATAAAAAATACAACAGAATTGCTAATACAGATAAGACATAAATTGTACTTACGGTATATTGGTAGGCCCTTTTGACCTTTCACCAAATGGAAGCCTAACTAGAAAAGATGTTAAAAATCAACATTTTCAGAAGCGCCTGTGTACGTTCCCAATGAAATATAAAAAAAAAACTGCTGAAATTTTTGACGGGGTGTTTTTTGCGCATGTTGATGTAATCTTGTAGTTTTCGGTTAGTTGTTACCCATGATTAGGAGTGGTTGTAGATGGCTTTATGTGGATACCATATGTATTATCTATGCCTAAATTCCTATTGAAATCTAGGTTGTCATATATATATATATATATATATATATATATATATCAATCAATTTCAATTATAGGTGCAATTTTAATTTATAAATTCATGAATCATTCGTACAAAAAACAAATATAGAGGTTAATGGTTTAAAAAGATTTAAAAGACCTTATGCAATTGGAATTTATAAACGGGGATCATATCATTCATAAACAGGTTCGGGGTATGTTATTGATATTGTTTGCGAAGATGTATTCTCGCCATTTAAATCATTAACCTCTATATTTGTTTTTTTTTTGTATGAATGATTCATGAATTTATATATATATATATATATATATATATATATAATTCAATAAGCAGGTAGGCAATGACTGGCCACTACTTTAAGTGTCATGTGCTTGCACGCAATCTTCAGGTAGCCAGTAATATTTACCGACCTCCCCACGAGGTAGGATGTGACACAAGGACGAATTTAATGCGGGGCAATCCGATCCCGTAGGCTCGTCCAATAATTCGCCGTAGACCCTGCATAAACGTAGTCAGGTCTGTCTACTCCCCGGACGAGACTCTGCCATTCGGCAAAGCCTCGTCCGGCATCGTCTCTGTACGAAAGCAGAGAGTTCAACAACAACTAAGAGCTTAGCACGTGGCCATCTTCAGCTGCCTACCTACCTGATCTTCAGGTAGCCAGTAATATTTACCGACCTCCCCATGAGGTAGGATGTGGCACAAGGCCAAATTTAATGTGGGTCATATCCGAACAAGTAACCTCGGCCAAAAAATTCCCAGTAGACCTCGCATAAACGGAGTCGGGTCTTTCTAGCAACCCGGACAAGACTCTGCCCTTCGGCATAGCCTCATCCGTGTTCTCCTTTGCCCGACAGTAGAGATTTCGAGAACAGCTAAGAGCCCAGCATGCGGCCAACTTCAACTGTCTATCTTCAGGTAGCCAGTAACTTGCAGTAATAAGATGATTACCTTATATACTACCGGACGAGTACAATTTGACAAGTAAGCCAAATTCGCACTGTGGGGAGGGTAGTCATCCAGCTAAGATTTAAAACGGCAAAAAAATCAGGAGGGAAAGGCTTGCCAATATAGCACAAAGCACTCATTAACAAGAAAACCTGTGTCATGGTTCAGGAGCATTAAGCTAAAAAGTGTGCTTAACAGGACCATACAACCAAATTCACGTTAGAGTATATATGATTCCAAGGTTTGAATAAGCAGCTCTAAATAAAGTCTGCTCAAAATTAGCCTTTTGACATAAAAGTGCTCCATGCCATAAAAATGATAGAGCATTTGAATATTAATTCAATAAAGAGGTAAGCAATGACTGGCCACTACTTTAAGTTTCATGCGCTTGTACAAATACTTCAGGTAGCCAGTAACTTGTCGTAATAAGCAATAAGATGATTACCTTAGATATATTACAAACATCAGCAAATGTTCCTGTGGCTTTTTGACTGTCCCGCAATACTGGCTGTTACACATGTGGACTTGTATGCAAATATATATATAATTATCCTGAATGTATTTATAGAAAAGGCACAGAGAGGTAACCTGGCGGCGATGGATAAGAGAATGAAATCGAGCCCCCAGATTAAGACCTATAATATTGCTGATTCTTCTTTGGATTTTATCAAGGAGCTCAAAATAAATAGCAGAGACACCGGACTATATTGTAGCAGCAATATTCTAAGTACGGACTTAGATATGTATGATTGTTTCTGAAGGAAAAAATTATCTCGCACGACACAATGAAGCATATTTCTCAGCAGCTCACCTAGCAAGGGATTCAATATAGACTTTCTACTCCATGACAGCTGAGGACGTTAGCTCGGGAAGGCGCAACGAGCAACTTTCGTGGAGGTTAGCATCAGCCATGCTGATGACAAGTAGAAAGGTTAATGGAGAGCAGTTTATTTCTGCGTTAAAGTTAACACATGATCTTTTGCCCCAGTTGACAGACATCTGAGGTCGTTTTGGATATCGGCTGTCATTCTGATCTTGTCGGAATAATCAGCCTTACTATCGAGACAGGAGTAAATGTTTGGGTCATCAGCGTAGATATTGTTTTTGAGAAGTTGGTCCGTTTTCCTATTCATTTAAGTCGGTTTTTTTTTATAGAACTATGGCCTGAGATATGTAAGGTCAATCGTCTCGATGAATGAGTAATGATATGTGCCAAGTAATTATACGAGAATCTGTTTTTATCAGAAAACCCACTTCCCTCTAGAGCGCTTTTAATTCATAAATAAAAATCCTTCTAGTAGAGATTTGATTTCCCTGGCGTGTTGTTGTTGCTAAGGGTGGGTGTTTTAAATATTTTCTAGTAAATATTTAATTTCATCTTCTGAGTATGCTCAAATGGAATAATGCACTTTTAATAAAATTCCTTGGAGTGAATTCGTCTGGTTCGTAATTGATAGACATCTGACTATATATATATATATATATATATATATATATATATATATATATATATATATATATATATATATAGAGAGAGAGAGAGAGAGAGAAATGAAGAAATGAGCTAAATAGAGACATATGATCAAACATGAACGATTATGATTAGTAAGATTAATGGGGTTATTTAGCCGATTATGTATACTGAATCAACGGATAAGATTATTGTAATACGAGCTAAAAAACTGATAGTTATCAAATAAAAAGCGTGAGTAGACAAAAAAGAATATGTGGTATATATATATATATATATATATATATATATATATATATATATATATATATATATATATATATATAAAAATTCAGCAACTGCAGATTGCGTTGTGCATGGAATTCAATGTATGATATATATATATATATATATATATATATATATATATATATAGATGTGTGTGTGTGTGTTTTTAGGTAGCAATCCTTCTTTCATGCACATTTCATTGAAAACGACAGACAAGGTGCTTTTATTTTGTTTTTTATACAATTTGTCATGCGATCTAATATTTTCTTTTCTTTTCGGCTGATAAATTATATAAAAACTGTCCGAATGTTCTTTTTATCCGAGCGCTTTCGGCTATATATTTAGCCATCTCCAAGGATTATATTTTAACTGTTAAATATTAACTTTGAACATGTACACAATATGTTTATAAAATATACATACTACAAACTATTTCTTATTTTAACAGACTACTATACTGTACAGACGACAAAATAAAAAAAAAAAACAACGCGCATGCGCGAAATTAAAATATAACATGGCGACGACTTACTGATCGCACCCTATATATATATATATA